TGCCCTCACTAATTAAAGTGTAGAGAACATTTTGTGGTACCACCTGGATTCAAACCTGGTTTGTCAGAGCTCTACCTTGGGGGGGGGGGGGGGGGGCGAGCCTGAACCCAAGCTCATGTACAAACAAAGATCAAAAATTTCTGCACAAAAAAAAAATTCAGAGAACAACAAAGCAGATAGATATTCAAGAAGAAAAGTATAAAAAACAATTTTGCTTATTTATAAAAATAGTTTTAAATTGTACTGTTACAAATCATACAACTCCTTTATATAATAAACAGTTTTAGTTATTGTGGCTTTTCTTTTTCTTCACACACTATAAAAAAGAACAAAAAAATCAACAATAAAAACTTTAGTGTTATTGTAATATAACTATAAAAAAAAACTAAAACGATTTATTGGCAAAATTACTAAACCAACCATTTCTATGTTTGTAATAAAATATCCATGTAACAGATGCCCATGATACCAGGTCAGTGGCACAGTAGCTAGCATCAAAAATGCCCCCCCCCCCGACCACACAGTAAAGTAAATAACAATGCAAACTATTTGAGAATTATAAATATATCATATGAAATGTTACGTCACAAGTTTTTAAAGATAATCAGATTAGGAATAATTATTTTATTTCCATCACAACATTTAAAAGATAAAAACATTTCAGATATACAGTGGTCTTTGTTGAGATGAACTGCTTGAGAAAATTACATTTCTATAGCTGAAAATTGCAATTCCTCTTTACTTAAAAGTTTTGGCAAATGTTTTGCACGAATATCGATTAAATGCTGTTAAATCCTGGTGCAATTATGGTTGTATATATATATATATATATTTTTCTTCTAGTGGACATTCTAGGACTTGCTTGGAAGCACTAGGCTTTAATGCCAAAGGTGTGGTTACAGCTTCCTAGGCCACTCTATCGTATAACAAAAGCACTGTGACTGCATGTGAATCGTAGAAGTACAATACTGGATACAATGGTCGACAAGTAAACATATAGTTTGATAACACAGTTCATAACACAATGGATACGTAATTTACCCTATGTATGTACAGGGTGTTTAGAAATTATATTTACAAACCTCTGAAACAAAAAGTAAACAACTTTATTAACATAATAACCAGACACCCCGTACATCACGTTGCTGTTTACAGTAATAAACAATACAATTTATTAAATAGTTTATAAATTAGTATTTCTACAATTCAAATAACAGATTTATAGAGAAAGACAATAAATGATCATATAAACTTTTGATTAAACTTGATTATATTTTTAGAGCATTTAGTAAAGATAAGAATGAAGGAAATATGAGAAAATACATTATTGCGAGTACTGGAAATTAAACATTTACAGTTTAAGGTCAGTGTAAAAATTAAACAACATACAGATTTAATTTCAATTTCAGTTGTTATTAAAGCTCAATTCTTATTTAATTTCTAATTCGTAAACTTCATTTTGATACAGTGAAACTAAACAACGGTAATTCTCGTTACAAAAAACACACAGCTTGAAAATGTTTTACTTTTTAAAGCTAAATAATAATTACCAACTGGAAGACAATAATTTTCTTTAATGTATAATCCAAAACTTGTTTAGATAGCCAACGTTTTTAATGCACATACAACTGTCATAAACCATTATCAAATGCAGAATACACATTGTTGAAACTTCTATACGACACCCTTAGGCACGAATAGCCTTGTAACCACATTGAGTTTGTCTTGTTAGTTTAACAACTGAGGTTGAAGTTTGAAATACATTTAACTATAAAAATTCTCATTTAAAACAATAATTTTATATATATATAATTTTTATATTATGAATTTTAGACACATTTAATGTATTACTAAAATGAAAAATATTATTAATTCGGTACTCTATATGAAAGACTTAATACTTCTTTCAGGATACAAAAAGATTTACTGGTAGAGCTACATATTTTTACATTGTAATACAAACAAAATCTTCAAGAGACCTTGAATGTTTCAGTTACCCGATATTTAGTTTGAGAAAACACTGCTCTTTACTATGTTACGTTTAATCTACATGGTGGCATCCCTAGTGGTGTAATTCTATTAGCAAAGCACTTGTTTTACCCGGTTGTAACTTGAAAGATTGGAATTAAATATATTTCCGAAAAATGTTTTACTTTCAAGATGTATTAGTGCATAAAACATATCATAAACTGAGTACACGTAGAACAACATAGGCTCTATGACCTCAAGTACTTAGTCCTTTCAAGATAGTGTAATGGATTCTTTTGCAGTGGAACTTTCAAACCTATCAGAATGATTCTGTCCATGTAGAAATATCATGTGTGCACGTCTACACGTACAGATGGCAGATTCTTGCAACCAAACGGAAGACAGACAGTCAGCAGTACCCTACCACCAACCAATTAGGGTAACATTGTTAGTGTAAAAATAAAAAAAAACACAATTTAAAGTGTGGCAGACATTTTATGGTATAGCATGGATTTGAACCTGAAATCCAGAGCTCTATCACAGGGCCAACCCACACCTGAAGGAAAGTACTGTTTTTATTTTAGTAAGAGGTGTAAATTAATGGAAAATACAATCGGTAGAGCACTGAATCGTCTATCTAGGATAGGATTTAGAAAACTCACAACTTAACTGTGGAAATACCAAATGAATTATATTTGATGTGAATCTCAAGCAGAGGAGTCAGCATATTTAAATATGGTGCTTGTCTTATGGGATGAAGGCTCGTGTGATACGATATTGGAAATATATTTCCATAATTTCTTGAAGCAAATGTAGTAACATTTTTCTCCATGTTTAAAAGCCATAATTTTTAATTCTTAAGTGTTTAAAAAGAAATAAAACATTTTTATCTTTATCATGACCTTGCATTTTTTATTTTGTAGCCTAATACAATGTACCCGTAGACAAAGTTAAAGGACATTGTAGAATCTGAAGAGAAAATAGTGGTGTTAAAAATAAATCTTTAGTTTTCTAAAACTTTGCACAATTTTCATCATGAAAAATCTCACCATGGACATAGTTTTCTACTAATTTATTTCCTGCCTCGTTATTCTGCTCACAAATATAAACTTTAAGCAACGAAAAATTTCCGATATAAATGTTATTCTTTACTAGTATTGGAAAAAGCCTAATGTTACAAAAATTCAATTTTCTGTACTTCTCTTCCTTTTCTTGATGAACTATGTATATTAAAAACAACAAATGCAAAATTCAATGATAATACCTGACACTCAACTCAAAATTTATAAAAGAACGTTTCAATTTTAATTTTTAATCTATGTCTTTAAACACTATACCTAATTTGTATGATAATTTTAATTCAACCCAATAATTTATCACCTTTAAAACTGATGAATTACTATTTTCCTCATAAAATAAAAGATATTAAGCTACCTACAAAATGCCTTTAACTATGAATACACATCTAATCAAAAACTCTACAGCCTGCAGAACAAAATAAGCAAAATTTCCTTGGAAAATTGTTCAGACAATCTGCGACTATCTCGCTGTAAATTTAATAATAAAAAATGGGTATGTTACATTACTCAAAGTTTTAAATTTATGTTTTTTTTTTACTTACATATAAATCAAAATATTTAAAAACAATACAAAGAGTTGTCACACAGTTAGGGTTAAGTTTATGCACTCAACTACATAATCTCTAAAAATCTCAAAAACGAAAATAATCATCTGGAAAAGAGCAAGAACTACAATATTTTTATTTTGCTTATTTTTAACTCAAAACAACTGTTACCATTATATTCTACATTAAAAAAATAAGTTGACTTTTTTGTAGCTGCTGTAACATTCATACAGTTAAGGAGGGGGGGGGGACACATGTTACCAGCCTCAAAGCGAGTCTTCAACTCTGTTTGTTGGGAAGATAAATGACTTTGAATGTCTACTAGATGCATTTTCATCGTGAAGTTGAAGACGCAACGAGAGGCTTGTATGAAATTCGTGGTTTGAATGATCTCTGGTGCGAGGTTTAAAACACGATGACAACCGATGTGTACAGGTGTTTATTCTGAACTTCCTGCCCAGTTTTCACCTATTAATAACATGGACTAAAAATAATAATAAATAAAAATTTATAATAAAACTAAGCTATATCGTTATTACATTATTAATTAATAAAAAAAAGAAAATAAATTCTAAGATGCTGCCTGCTTCACGTTTTTAAGAGACGTGAAACTTATCATTTTTCAGTGCAGAGATATAAAGTTTTTAAAAGTTGTAGAATAAAGTGAAGGACACATTAAACATAAGAAGTGTTAAAATATATGTAGAAAGATGACTAGAATCTAATAATAGTAACATGCTCTTTATCAGGGCTTTGTTCACTGTTCTCCTAAATGGGATTTTAAAGGTGAACTGTTACAGATCCACTAATACATGAAGCACAATATTCGTGGGATTTTAAAGGTGAACTGTTACAGATCCACTAATACGTGAAGTACTATATTCACAGATCGTTCAGCACCAAAGTAAAATAGTTTTATCTCCCATACAATGTTTCAGAAATGGGCGGATTCATTTGCCTTGTTCCATGATTCAGCGCAAGAAACTAATACAGAGTATGCTAACAAAGCAGTCTTCTTTACCTTCTTCTTTGGTACGAAATAGTAACACTATTTCAATACTTTTTATAAAAACAATAAAACAAAACAGTTAAAATACTCTGAATATTTGGCACATAGATGCCTATATAGCGTCAAATTTACTTAAGATCTATAAAATTCAAATTAATTCTCAGTGCAGATGAGCAATTTACGGAAAAGAAGGAAAAGTAAAGTGCTCTGTTGCTGAAGGAAGTGGTTCAACAGTTAGGAAGCACATGTATTTAAGCGTTATATATATTCCAAGTCCAATAGAAGAAGAATAATACATGTGTAGAACACTGTAACCAAGATACCATGTATGCACTTACAACACATACACAGGCATACAAGTACAAATAGTTGAATCCACGCAGGAAATTAGGGCCAACATTTTCACACGAGTTACACAAAAATGGGTTAGAAAATACCATTGTATAAAAGCAAATGATGCAAAAGATACTTTTTCTTGCTAGATGGTCCCTTTCCTACACCAGGTTGTATTCCTTGAGATTTAGCTGCAAGATGGTGTCCTTAACAGCAGCAAATACAAATCGTATGTTTTCAGTGTCTAGAAATAAATAAATATTGTGGTTTTTAAATTTCGGCTGTTATCCAACAGCAAATAAAAAATATTTAAGTTATAGGAAGGTAATGAGTAGATTACATCAGTTAGGGTTAATAATACAAGCATGGCTGAACCTAAATAAACATTGTGATAAACTCGTTATTACACGAACAGTAGGCCCATTGAACATATTATAAATAATGCGAATGACGCATCTAGTGAAACTTGTAAAAATATTAAATCAACCATCAACACTATAAAGAAAAACTATGTTATCTTACAACAGGCCTAACAGTGGGCTACTGCAAATGGTTTTTTTCTAAAGTTTCCGTTTACTAAAAATATAAAAAATAATGATTTCCTTATTCAAGTTGTAGTTAAATATAAAGAAACAATTTACATTTGAGCTATCATAAATGTAAATTTCTATTCCAACCACAAAGAAATCCGTTACTTTGTGTCACGACAGATTTTAACATGAAAATACTGATAAATGACATCCGAATTATTCACTCCCACATAAAATATTTTATACTTACACAGATTTACACTGGATAATTACTGCAATATCATGACAACAATATAGAAAAATTTGGTAGCAATATTGTTTGTTAAAAATATAGGTTTTTAAAGTATTTTTGTCCTATTTTGATAAAAAATAAAGTAAATAATGAATGAGAAGAAAGTAAATGATTTTAAAGGTTTCACTGAGAAGTCTATAATAACCTTAATGTTGATCACAAAATTACTTCAAACAGGTTATAAAATTTTTTAAAGATTTAACACAAAGTCGATGGTTGCCTAATAAGACATTTGAATCTCAACAATAACCATTTCTGTTTGAAACATCTGGACTCATTTCTTTTTAATTCACTTATTTTGGTTAATACAACATGTGAATTATGTAATGTAGAAAAGCTATACCTACTACAGGTTGATTCTCTCAAAACCGATGACCATAAAAACCGTGTAATGATTTAGATATTATTCTCACGGAATGGATTAGGTAGTGGCGTAGCGAAAAAGCACCTCTCTCTCTAGAAATATGGTGATAGAACAGGCCAAAATAGCTCATGAGGAAATGAATCTGGAAACAGAAGCTAATTACACTACAGGCTGTCTGACGAAATTTAGGATCCAATATGGTATATGTTTCTTCCAGGTATGTGGGGACCGTGCATCAGAAACTCATGAGGCAGCTCAACGTTATGTAGATGAATTTGCAAAGTTGATAAGTGATGAGAATCTCACAAGTGATCAAGTTTATAATGTAGATGAGACTTCTCTATATTGGCAGTATCTGCCGAGAAAAACCCTGATGAAAGTGCACCTACAGGTGTGAAGGATACAAAGGACAGACTTGCCGTGCTTGCTGCTGCAAATGCAGCTGGCACTCGTAGGATTAAACTGCTAGTTATCAGCAAAAGAAAAAAGGGGTGAGAGTGTTTCAAGTACATCATTGTGCTAATAAAAGGTAATGGATCATGACCTAGATCACACTGGAATGGGTTGTAGATTGTGCTAATAAAAGGTAATGGATCATGACTCGGATCACACTGGAATGGGTTGTAG